TAGCCTTGTGAGGGAGTGGGGAGCCGAGGCTGCCCTGAGTCCCTGTGGACACTTGCACACACAGGCCCAAAAAATAATTTTAAGAAGAAATTAGTAGAGTGGGTTTAATGAACTTTTTGCATGCCCATCTTCAGTCTGATGTTAGAGATACCTAACTACTCTGAAAGGAATGTCTGACATGTATGAAAGCGTTATATTCAAAACATGACACAAATATTTACTTACCTTTGTTGGTATTAGAAATCAGCCTATTTATAATTTCCTTCCACTGTGGGCATCTACGAACATTTTCTATCTTAAAAAAGTTGAGAACCAGCAAATAACAGAAAAGTACAAGCGCTGAATTACAGATCTTGGAAGAAAATCAGGCAATTTATATATCATCTTGATTTTAGGGAGAGTTCATCCAAGGCACATGTACTTTTGTAAGAGACTACGGGACATGGAATGCTAACAATCTTCATTGTCAGTGAACTTCCTAAACTTGTGTCTGAATGTCTCAGGCCTCACTTTCAGCTCATTTCCTCTTATTGAACAGAGGCAGGACAGCTGGCCAGCATCTAGCATCTGCACTGTCCTCAGTCTTCCCTAACTGAGTTACGGACCACGCTTCTGAAATGGGAGAAGGCCAATTTGAAACAAAAGTAAAAACTCTCAAAAAAAAAAAAAATCTTGTGGGAAATCACATTTTTAACTGAACTTTGAATGGGCCTATAGATTAGGTCAGGGGACGGGCCAAAACACTGAAGTGCTGTCCCTTGAACAATTCAGATTCATTCTTAGATAGTATTACAGGGTCATAAAACACCAGGCTTGGAAATTAAAGATGTTTATGTCTCATCAGAAAGTCTTTGACTGTAACTCTCTGGCATACTGCCAAAAGGGCAGCTCTTTGGGGGAAAACCCTATGCCAAAGGCCAAAGAGGCAGCTGTGTTATTCAGCTCCTGAGAGCTTCCAACTCAGCACCCACACAAGCTCAATTATGAGCAAATTAAAGGGATCCAGACTGAACATAGTAATTCTGGTAATTTAAATAAATAGAGGAAAGTCTACAATTAGTAGGAAAAGACTGATTTTCTGGAAAACCCAGAAAATGACACCCTAACCCCTTTGAATAAGCATAGTTACATCCAATTATTTAAAAATAAATTTCCTTTTATTCATCATTTTAATCATTCTGATCTGACTTAAAAGTGGCCACATGCATGCCAGCAAAAGTATTCCCAAAATAGAGGCAGAATAGCCTCAAAAAAAAAAAAAATCTATACTGGCTATATAGGACTTAATGACATTGAGTAGAATTGTAATCACAGTTTTATATCTACATTTTAGAGCACATAGATAATGTACAATTCATGTCTACCTTTTTTAGTGCAGAGAAAAACTGAAAGTAATTCAGAAAGAACAGAGATTGAATATTGGGGAATCTATTAATATAACTCACTATGTTAATAGAATAAAGAACAAAATACACATGGTCGTTCTGTATAGATCTTTAAAAATCACTTAATAAAATTAAACATCAGCTACGGATTAAAAAAAATGAGCAAATGAACTTTTTAAGAAGCTAGGAATACGAGGAAATTTATTTAACTTGATAAAAACATTTCTTCTATCAGGAAGCATCAGCAAAGTCATAATTAATGGACACAGGCATGTAGTATGCACATACACAGTGGAAGCATTCTTGTTTAACGTTTAAGTTCATTTTGATAAGCTGATCTAAATAAAGTTCATGTGGAAGAATAAATATATATGAGGAGCCAAACTGATTTTACCAAAGAAGAAAAATCAGAGGAAGTTTTTCCTAATAAGTTATCAGAATACAACGAAATAGCATGATAACATAAACAAGGTGACACTGGCATGGAATAAATATGTCAATAGAATATGTCTAGAAACTGACCAATGTATGCAAGGAAACTTAGTATTCAATGTTATTACATTCTGAATTAATGGGGACAGGATGTAACAGTCAATACATGTCATGAATAATTCACCTATTATCACAAATAAACATTTTTCTGCTTCATTCACTGTGGATAAATATATTACAGATTGGTAAACATTTTTAAAAAAGCCTTTAGGGCACCTGGGTGGCTCAGTCAGTTAAGCGTCTGGCTCTTGATTTCGTCTCAGGTCAAATGCTTCATGAGTTCAAGCCTCCCATAGGGCTCTGTGCTGACAGTATGGAGCCTGCTTGGGATTCTCTCACTCCCGCTCTCTCTCTGCCCCTCCCTGTTTGCTCACTCGCTCTCTCTCTCTCAAACTAAATAAATAAACTTAAAAAAAAAAAGGCTTTAAAAGTACAAGAAGAAAACAATGTGGCAAGTATAAAGCCTAAAGGTCATGAAAATGGAAATTTTTTACTCTGAGACTAAAATGTTTTTTATTGTAAAGGATATCACAATCAAACTAAGAAGGCAAATAATAGACTGCAAGAAATTCTTTGCAACATACGTAACAACTTTCTAAAGATAAAAAAAATTAAGAAATGGAAATATTTTTGGCAAAGGATATAAATAGGTATAATCATAGAATATAAAAGACAAAAGGACCCTCCAAAAAAAGCCCCAAACCAAAAAAACTCCCCAAACTCTCAATCCCAACTTCAGTCAAAAAGGGAAAAGTAAATTGTCAATTCAGATGCACTCATAAAACACAATACAACTACTATAAAGAAACACAACACACAACACACACACACACACATACATGGATGATGCAGCGAATAGAATGCTGCGTATACATAGCAAACTATTTTTAAATCATGTTTGTATCTGGAGATGAGGTGGCTTCTTTCTCATAAGAGTTGTCTGTCTTTTGAAACGTAAGTGAAGTAAATGGAACTCACTCACCTTTAAAATAACTTGAACATAATATGCAAGTTAAAATACTAGCTTAGACTCAACAGCAAAAATGAAATAAAAACAAAGAAGGTACTAATGGGGACTGTCAGCCTTCAAAGATTCCTGCAGACTTTGTCAAGGAGAACTAACCAACAAAAATTACAAGATAAATAAAAGGTTTTCTCTTTTTAATTTTGTACCATAAGAAATTGCCATTTTTCCAGGTCCAAAAGAGCCAAATAGCATTAATTGGAGATTCAGCCTTAAAACCTTAGGATTGATTGATTACTTATTTTTCACTTTGGAAGATTGGACCTCGATCCTGCTATCCTACAAGGAGAGCCAGCAACTTTTTTAGTAAATATATTAATTCCTTACTTTGGCCCAGTGCTATTTATAAAAAACTAAACAACATTCTTTTCACCTAATCAAACAGGAAAGACACTTCCAAATGTTTACCATTCTGATATCATCTGAGTTTATTCACTAAGAAAACCAACACATCTATTGAGCTCATTCAATTGTTCTGGGGAGAGGGCTCAGAAAGCCTCTAGAATGTTGACCCTTGGAGCCCTCTGCAAGAGTCTTAGCTTTAAATTGGCATTTACTGGAAGAGATCAAGCTTTGATGGTATATGAAATAGTTTTTTTTTTTTTTAACCATATTTTACTACTTCTGCTGTGTGGTGCATTTAAGCCAATGTTTTGGCACTTAGGTCCTGAAGTAAATAGCTCATGACCTCTGCCCAATTATGTAAACTGAACAAACAGTACTGCTATTTTCATTTATGGTATAATTACAGTAGAATGCAATGAGTGACCGCCATACATATTTTCGAAGGGCTATTTCAATTTAAAAAAGAAAACTTCTCAAAGTTTTCAGTAATAAAAAATATACGCAGAAATACCGTTTCTGGCTATGACATTCATTTTCCCCATGGAGAAATTAGAAAGATACAATAAAAATACTTATCAAGCATTTTATAAAAATCAAGTTTTCCTCAAATTATTAATAATAACCTTGGTCACTGTCACACATTATTCCTTTGGTTTGTCAAAGGTTCACCCTCAGAAAATCCCCTATTCCGGCCAGTGCTCAGGATTTCTATCCCTCTCTCACTGTAGGTGGTTAGAACAAATGTATCCTAGTGACCTAGTTAATTTATAGAAAATGGAATCAATTTCCCTTGTTTCATCCTGACTGAACGTTTTTTCTGGACTTACTTGTGTAACAGATAAGCACTATTTATCAGATGGCTTGGTGGAGCACAAAGTTTTGATTATTTTATACTCTTATCGCTACTAATGAAATATGCAATATGCCTCAAAAAAATTTGCAAAGCATGGCCTGCGAGCACCCAGCAGCAATGAATATTTCCTGAGGATTTATTTTGCACGGACACCCTTCTCTCAGAATCGTTTCTCTCCAAGTGCCTATGAGGGCACAGCAATGTTCTTGGGTGTCTGAGCTGTCTTCCGGGTTCCCACATCCTAGGACCTGGAGAACACAATTTGCAGGGGCCCTTGCTCTGCCCTAGCACCCAAAAGTCACCCAGAAATTCCCTGCAGAGCTTGGAAACTCAATGAGGTTGTGCAGGCATGGACCCAAGGTACCCTGACACCCTCGATCTGGCAAACCCAGAGACCCTTTTTTCCCTTCAGTGTTAACAGTGTCTGGAGATGGGCATTTAAAGAGACAAGGCTTCCTCATTGCTGCTATCCCTAGCCACTGTACATGGAGATGGGCAACCCTTTAGAGGATTCATTTAACCACACTATCTTCCCAGACCCTGCAACAGGTGCATACGTGAGAAATGCAAAGGCTCTGGCGGAAGTGAGAGTACAAATACAGAGGCAGGTGACTTACTGGTGCCTATGGTATTCTGACCATCTGGAAGGAATAATCCTATTGTTCTGACCTCTATGAACCACTTTATAAAAAATATCATTTCTCTCTCTCTTTTAAAAAGGGGTAATTACAATTAGATGGTGAGAGGAGACAGGGAGATGGGATGACCACTAGCCCCTCCTCCAGGCTTCAGCAGACTTTGCCCCCTAAGGTTGGAGCTGAAGAAACAAAGGGAGGACATTCGGGAAGACAGATGGGCTGAGGCTGGAGTGCTGACCTGCATGTCACTGGCCCTCACTTACCAAGGTCCATGCTCTTTGAGGCTTTCAGATTCATTGATTCAGGCTGCCTGGCCGGTGTCACGGATCTGAAGTGGGTGTGCTGATCTGGAAAATACACTGCCGAATCCACCCCAGAGCTATGGAAAGAAGCCACATGCCATATTTAGATTTAGAGTAAAAAAAAAAAAATTTTTTTTCTCCTTTGGTAAAGGAAGCAGTTGTCATTTTGAACACAGCCCCTCCTCATTCCCCCTATAGTTCCCAACCATGTATTTGCAACGAATTCTTGAATCTCAGGTTGCTTTCATGAGATGTAGCAGCTCTATTTTTAAGTATTTTATCACACTCCACAATTTAAATAAAATATTCTCTGGCTAATATCATGTTTTCCTCTTCACTGATTTCTGCTAATTGGGATCCTGCTGTACAATATAGAACTTTCAGTGGGAAAGGCGAGCCTGGAATGAACTGGCGCTTCAAAGGAGGTCACTGGATATTAGCAGAGCCTGAGAGCAGGTTAAGAGATTTCCGTGGGCTAAGCATGCCCTTCCTTTAAAAACAAGTGAAAGGGTTGCATCCTTTAGAGAAAACCATCCTGTTGAAAGACTGATGGCCGCAGTAGTTTGGTTTTCTACTTTATTTAGGTCTATTTCCTAAAACTAATGTTAATACTGAGCAAATAGTCTGCTCATCGATAATATAAAAAGGAAATAACAGGAAAAGCACGCTTGACGATTTAGACACAAGATACATTAAATGCCCATTATAGGCTTCCTAGTACTTGTAGTCCGTCTCAAATAACTCTATTTCTGCTAAATATTTTATTTATTTTTGCTTGAGGTTGAAAGGGATTATATAAGGGAATTGCAGACAATGCCTTATTTCGTGGTTAGAAAAGAAATCATATTTATAAATTTTATAAATTAAATTATAGCTGCTTTCTCCCTTGGTATTATCATATATTTAGAAAGTTAATATGGTGGCTCATTTCAACATAGCTTTATTCTAATTTTAAACACAGTGAAACCCAAATCAAGTATCTGATAAATCTGAAAGTACGGAGTGAGGTTGAGGTTTCAAACAGTTGGGATTTGACACTTTATGTGAACAATAAAACAACAACAAAAAATGAACTGTTAGGTATGAGAATCCTAAAATGTACAGGGGACCTCAATTTCTTAACCAAATATTCCAAAATGAGTTTAATCTTTTCCTGAAACTCATTAGTTATGCACATTCAATACTGCCTTGCAGGAATATTAAAATTAAAATGCAGCCATAATACTATTGCTGAGTTAATGGGTGAACCTCCATTATTGTAATACAGTGGGTAGCTTAAGGAAGCACCTATGACAGGCGCAGAGCACAGAGCTCAAGACCACAGATGCCAGAGCTGGTCTGCTTAGTTCCAAATCCTGGCTCTGCTCCTGATGAGTTGTGGGACCCGGCCACATAATGGGACCTCTCTGTGCTTCAATTTCCTTATGTATAAAATGGGTATAATTACACTCCCTGCCTCATGCGTTTACTAAGAGATACAATGAGTTTGGAAAGAAATTTGTAAAGTAAGGAGAAGAGATTCTGGCACAGAGTAAGTGGCAAAGAAGTATTTAGGAAACAAATAACCAGGTAAGCAAATAGACCACTCTTGCTGCCCAAATGACTGTAAATTTTTGCTTTTCGGGTTACCTATAGGATTTTTTCAGTTTCTTTCTTTCTCTGTTTTTGTTAAAGTCAGTTTTTGTTCTGTGTATACATGGTTTCATGAAAATGTCTCAAGAAATTCAAATCTATATAATTATATAATCTTTATAATTACAAAGCTTTTGGTTTGTCTTTGGCTTCTTTCTTGGTGTCTGGCTATATTTTCAATATCACTGACATATATAAAGTACATCTGATGTGGTAGGGAGTGACGACAAAGTATGCCAGTGGTGGGCAGAAATCCTTGAACCACCCATGCTGCTGACAATGGCCTGGCGTAACAGCAACACTCCAATTGCTTCAGCCCATTTTAAAGAAGAATTCTGAGAGGCTACTATGAACATGAGCTTCCCCCTGAACCTCGATGTTCTGGAAGCACTTGCCTTTAAATGTGTTTATTCGACCTTTATTTGCACTTAGTTTTTCATCCTTTGATGTCTTGTGATGATGTGGTTTTAGTGTCAGAAAGACTCATGGCCTTCATAGAATCTGAGAATTTAAGGGCCGGAAGGCATTAAAGGTCACCTCATCTAATTCTTGTAGATAAGACACCAAGGCCCAAAGAGGAGGCTGATGTTCCAAGGTCACACAGCTGGCCAGTGCCAAAGTGAGGACCAGAACTGTTTGTTCTTAATAGTGCTTTTCTTGGAGCCACGGAAGCTTTGGCTAAAATGGTGGCTAACCCGGGGCCCAAGTGCAAATGATGCTGACACTATGGAAATCAAAACTTTCCCTTTTTGTGCAGATTCACTCACTCTCTTATGCTGCTTGCATTTTAGGCCAGCTCTTTGTTTCAGTAGGGTGATACATACCATCAAATACAAGGAGATCAAAGCGTTAACCCAAACAGATGCCCTCAGTTACAATGAAAGGCATTAGGGAGGTGGTTTAGGACCAACATGAATATTCCTCATTAAAACTTGGGTCACACTGCATTTAAAGTGCTCTGCTCCAGGGAGACAAGGGGAACGTACCCAGCTGAGTAACACACTGGTTAACCTGTTTTATTGTCTTACTTTAGACCAAACTAAGTATTAATTGACATATTAAACGTAAGAATTCAGATTTTTTGAGGCTCTTGGGAAGCAATTATCCCCATCCCCGTTTTAATTTTTTTTTTCAACGTTTTTTATTTATTTTTGGGACAGAGAGAGACAGAGCATGAATGGGGGAGGGGCAGAGAGAGAGGGAGACACAGAATCGGAAGCAGGCTCCAGGCCCTGAGCCATCAGCCCTGAGCCTGACGCGGGGCTCGAACTCACAGACCGCGAGATCGTGACCTGGCTGAAGTCGGACGCTTAACCGACTGCGCCACCCAGGCGCCCCCCCATCCCCGTTTTAAACAGCAAGGTGGAATGCCACTTGCTAAGCAACATCAGGTAAGGATCTGTCTATAGTGAATTTTTTGGTACAAATGTTTAGATATAATGCAGGCTGATCAAAGAAACAAAGAGCTGCTTTCTACAAATGAATGTAACAAATGTTCACATGTGTATGTCCACACACTATCTATACCTGAATCAATCCGTTAAATTGATCATAGTGATTCATACATCTGTTGCCATTGCTTTGAATGGGACCAAGTGCACAGTTTGGAACCTTCTATAGAAGGGCCCATTTTGCCATGATGCCAAAGAAGAAATAAGGCAAAATAAGGCTGATCTTTAAGGAAGGAACTAAGTGTAATAGGAGAAATTGCAAGAGTAGAGTCAAGGTGAGCATACGGTACAAACAATGAAGTGTAGTACTGAATCAATGCGAAAATATTTTAGAGACGTAAGTGAGACCAGTGAAACCATTTGTAATTTTATGCTACATATTGAAAGTTTTTGGAGGGAAGGGGTGACACAGCGGTTAACTCTAAAATATGACATGTTTTAATTTTGAAGAAAGGTAGCATGTGCTCATGGCTGAGTGGCTGTAGTGGGAAGCTGCAAGTTGACAGGCCAAAGCCATGTTTTAAATACAGGCCGTGTTTTCAGCATCAACAACCAGGGACTCTATCAAATAGAAATGATGCTCAATGTCAAATTATGCTGCATAATGAATAAATAAAGGTAGCGTGAAACATATGCTAGTGTCCTGAATATGGTGACAAATCAGGAACGTAAAAGACATATAAGACCCAGCCATGAATGTTCAAGGAGAACTGTCAGAAATAAAAAGGAAGGGGAAGACGACTTTGAGAGGTATGGCAAAAAAAAAAAAAAAAAAAAAAAAAAAAAAAAAAAAAAAAAAAAAAAATTCTGAAGTCTCAGGTGTCCATGAATAGGGCTTCAACAACTGGCTACTATGCATAAGAGTAGATGAAGGAAGGAACGAAGGAAGGAAGGAAGGAAGGAAGGAAGGAGGGAGGGAGGGAGGGAGGGGAGAGGCAGAGACAGAGAACCCAGAGAGTATGCAGACAGAAAAAATATAAACATGCAGGGAATAACCAAATGTTGTTTGAAACTGTTAATAAAATTGAATATATTCTGTTATTAATTTGCCTTACAACCACCCTGAAATATCACAGCAGAAAATATACTTCCTTTACGTTTATTTTTTATTTAGACACACGTATTCTCAAGTTTTGTCCAATAATTGATGACATAATACTACAAGTTCAGGAAACTCCTGATGTCTTTTTGGTTCAAGACGCAGGCGTTAAGTTGGATCACATTTGTGTCTCTCTTCTCATGCAAGAGTCGTTTTCTGTTTCACAAGACTGGCTGCATCCCTAAAGCACCACTTTTCCCTTTTAGAGGGCTTTTAACTTTTTTTTTGAAAGCCAGGGCAGCCTCCCTTGCTCAACCCTCCTGGCTCCCTTCCAACCCTTCCTCCATCCCGAGTTCCACACATCCCAAACCCCCTGCTGCTACCGGTCACCTAGGCAACAGGGCAGCTTGCAGGATGGTGCAGGTCACGAGATCCCGGGGGAAGAGTTTCAAAGCTTTACCTTTGTTCCTTCCACCTCAAAAATGTCTTTGGCTCTGCCCCTTTCTCTCCAGCCATGCTGCCCCTATCTTCATTCAAGCCCTCTCTTCTTTTGCCAGTCCCCAGACTATCCTCTTTTATGGCTTTCCCCATCCACAACTGAACTCACTCAACTTGATATTGTCACCGCCCCTCCCCCGCCAACAGAAGAAATCTGTGGAGACATTGAAGCAGCCAAAAAGGGAGTTGTCAATTCCCAATCATTCCATCTCTGCAATATCTCTGAGGCCCTCTCTCACCTGAAGAGGTTTCTCATCCGAAAGCTTCTCCCTCCCCTCCCCAGCACTGTTCCTTAGTACCTTTCACGGCTACTGCCCTCGAAAACCTGCAAAGAGTCTCTGGCTTCCAATGGATATTAACCTTTCTCCATTTACCTAATACGTGTACACAACTAAGACCCAGGTCTTACCATGCTGTCTGCTGAAACCTTGCAACAAGGTTTTACTATCTGACTAACGTATCTGCATTCCTTACCCTTGCACTCTGGGCTCCATCATCTGGCCAGTCAGCCAGGATACAAGATGCACAAACCAACTTACTTTCCCAGTTTCCATGCTGTTCCTTTTACCCTTTCCTCTCTCCGAAAGTCACCTCCTTCCTGGGATTTTCTCCTGTGCGCCTCCAATTCATACTTTAAGGTTAGGCTGAAATGCCATTTTTCCCATAACATTTTCCCCTGATTCCTGTCTTCTGCCTTGGATGTCCAGAGCATTTTATACCTTCTGCCAAATATCACTTTGTACCTTGTGCACTAGTTGTCATTTTTACCTACTGGCCTACCATCTTCTTGAGGGTAGGCTTTATATCTGATTCATCTTTGCTTTATCCCAACAGTTTTTCACATACACGCAGGATAAACAGTAAAGGAGAATGAAAGAAATTATGTTTTTAATGTATTTTCTAATGACAGAAAACTGTCACTTTTGATTCAGGATTGAGGCAGGCAATGGAAATGAACGAACACAATTAAACATGTCCAGATTTTCTTCCAAGAAACCCCTGGAAAACTGATCTAGAACATTACTAGTTGGTGAAATTGTATTTGAGTAAGATAGCTGACTTCAAAAACAGAGGAATCAGAGATAGCTAAATATAGGTAAGCTTCCAGCTAATAGAGTTAGCTATACTCTTTTTGTGTTGCTTTATTTTTAGCAGATCGTAATAAAAAGCATAATAGGAATGACACCAGCATTGCTGCAAGAAAAATGAAAAAATTTCACAGGATTATCAAGGGACATAGAATGGAATAAAATACACAATTTTTAACAGCCATAATAAATACAGAAAATAGCAAAGGGACAAGTTAATGATTTTTAAAACTCATCAGAAGAACAAAATCTATGAATTCCACTAGTCCGATGGTGTGTATACTTACTAAATCTCTCTCTCTCATGCTTGTGAGATCCTAAAAATTATTGATTTTTTGGTTTCTATTACAGAGTGGATATAATATTGGGTACTCTTTTCAATATTTTAGATTATATATGGTGTTGCTTTAATTTTTAGATTCCATTAACTTTCTTGGAACATTTATTTTTAAAATACCTTTAGGGTTCACCAATTACAAGTGAAGAAAAAAATAAAAACTAAGCTTTATGTCCTCTCAGTTTTTGTTTTATACCTTCCCATATAACCTTTTGAGCTCTCTGGTTTTTCAACATGATAAAAGAAAGTTCTACATTCCCTTAAATATTTTATAATATATGACGAATTTTAAATTCCAGGAAGCAACATATGAATACTCTAAGCTATTAATTTCAGCTATGAGAAGCTTTCACTGCAAAGGAATTACAGATGCTATGAGATTTCCATTCTGGAAAGAAATAGAGTTAAAATAGGGTGGCTGGGTTTTTGCAGAAACACCGTAATGAGGAACATTTACGATATATCATTTTATCAATACCTGTGGCTGTAATCTTCAGTGCCCAATTCCAGAAGGGGATGTGGTGGTGGAGAAGGTGGTACTTCAGCCTCGGCCCATCCGTCACTGGGAAGCAATAGCTCTAAAAAACAATGAACCAATGAAGCTGTAAGCTCGAGGCAGAACTGTTCAGTGCCTGGTTTTGTTTCAGTCCACCTCACAGATGCAATTTTCGCCAACACATAAACCAACGTTGAAATAAATAAGTCCTCCTACAGAAGTGAAGGATTTGTACGAGAGCTCATGCAGCCTGTGTGAGGAAATCTAAGCCTGCTAATGGGTGTTCACGCTGGTGACCTGCTGGCAACCCATGGCAAGTCAAGACCGTGCATCTTGAATATCTTTTCCCGCCTAGAAATGGCTGACAGTTGCTCATGACTGGTGTTCTGTGGAAGATTAACAAAGCCATCTCTTTCGTGCCTTAATGGTTTTGTAAACAAGACTCTCTAGTGAATACTCTGGATCATATGGAGATTTAGTTATTGGCCTTAGTGACAAAAAGTACTTAAAAAAGACACGAGATACTGTACATCTACTCACCCTTTAGAGACGGTAGAGGGGAAAAAATACTATTTTTGCATCTGTGCCACAATGGAAATACATGGGTTTGAGGCCTTGGAGGCAAAAGACAAGGGTCAGACCTGGTTTTCTCTCCTACTTAAGATGTATACTTTTCTAATCTATTCTACTCTAGAAAAATTAGACCTGTATCCTGAATATGACTACAACTAATAACAAGCAAGTTTGTTGGGACCCTACTGTATACTAGACATCATGCTAACTATTATGTTCATTATGTCATTTAATACTCGTCATTATTACCAACATCAACTCATGTGTGAAAAGCATGATAGAGTGTCCTGGGCAAGCAAAAAAATCTATGCAGCAAGGCCACCATATGTCCGGACATGGCTCCCACAACTGCATGAACTTGGCCCAACCACTCAACTTCTCTGAGCCCCAGTTTTTTAAATCTATAAAGCGGGGATGAGAATAGCTTCATTAGAGGAGTATAAGGATTGTATAAGACGGTGCATATTGAAATAGATTTATAAATGCAAAGTGCTAATAAGCAACAAAAAGATTATTATTCTATACATTCTAAACTCTACTGCATATCTATTACAATGAGATTTAGTAAAAAGCGGAACCCTGTTGGTCCTTGATTGCTGGAACCCTGCTCGATTGCAGAGTCTCTATCCCTACGAAAGGCCGCTGGTAACAGAACCTGCCTGACTTGCCCACATGCCAGATGCGATGGTTACTTTCGTATGTTAACCTGACTGGTGACTGGGTCCAGGGTACCCAGATATCTAATCATACATTATTCTGGGTATTTATGGGAGGTTGTTTTGGGGTGAGATTAACATTTAAATCAGCAGGCAGAGTAAAGTAGAGGGTCCCCCCCTAATGTGGGTGAAACTCATCTAATCAGCTGAAGGTCTGGATAGAACCAAAATGCTAACTGTCCTCCTCTGAGGAGAGAATTCTTCCTGCCTGACTCTTTTCAAACTGAGACACTGGCATTTTCTTGCCCTTGGACCCAAAACCAATCACTGACTCCTTCTGGGTCTTGAGTCTGCTGGCTTTTAGATCGTGACTATGCTGTTGTCTCTCTTTGGTCTCTAGATTGCCCATTCACCTTACAAATGTTGGGGCTTGCCTGGCTCCATAATCATGAGCCAATCCTTTGTAATCAATCTCATTATATTAGTTATTATATATTACTATGTATATTATATATGTTACATGTATTACTGCATACCATTATATGTTATATATGTTTTACATTGTGTTATATGTTATTGTATTATATATCTGTATACATGCATATACATCTCATTGGTTCTGTTTCTAAGGAAAACCTGCTCCAAACTCTGCCCCAGGGACTAGTATAAAATGGAGGGAAATCTAGCAGTGCTGGCATGTGCCTGGGTAGGAGGTTTAAAGCAGGAGATCTTACAGGCAGGGTGACCAAGGTATAGAAGCATGGTGAGCAAAGGCAGCTATCACTGTCCCCCTGTACTGCTCTCCACCCAAGTGATCTAGTGATTTGGTAATATGGCAGGAGTCAGGCAGCCAGAGGCTTGCTGACAGGAACAGAAGAAATACACTGTAAATTGGGGACAAGGGACACATTGGGACATTTTCCACAGGCTGTAATCTCTCTACCCTCAACCTCCCACCCCGTCTTTCACATTGGTGATAAATATTGCTGTGATCATGTAACTTGCCCTCTCAGAAGCCTCTCAGTTGCACACAGTAGCCTAGAGAAGGTCTGTGCCCTTTGTGGGCAACTTCATTTCCTATTACACATTAGCCACCCAAGACTACTTACTGTTCCCCAACCACAACCTGGGCTTTCCTGCCTCAGTGTGTTTGCTTACAAAATTGAAAATCCACTCCCATCCATCAAAGTCCCGCCCTTCTCTCAAGGTCCACCTCAAATATCATCACCTCTACGAAACTTTTACTATTTCTCTGGGATCTGTCAATACTTTTAGAATAATGACAGAGAATACTCGTGCTCACTGTATCTGTGTGCACACGCAGACCTCATTTTCCAGCTTCTTTGTACCTAGACTAGGTCTTTCCAATAGAATGAGAATTGTTCTGGTCATTGTCATCCCCAGTCTCAATGGGTAAGAAGGTGCACTCTCTCCACCTTTCCTGTCTACCAACTGCAAGGAGGAGTGGCTGAGGCTCTAGAAAATGGCCCAGCTGCCAATGGAACGAGCCCAGGACCCTCAGTCACTGCACAGAGCACGGCCTCCATCTTTCTGCCTCACTGGGCTGTGATAAGACAAGAAAAATACTTCCACTGCCTTCATTCACTGACATTGGGTTTTATCCATTATTATTATGGAAATAATTCCACTTATAACATTTATCATATGCTGATTTTGCAATGAGTTATCGCTCTATCACCTACGTATCTATTTCTCTGACTGGAGAAACTTCCTTGTCCTCTTTCTCCTCTCCTTCATCTTCTTCAGCATTTTCTCTGGCTTCTTCAAGTTTTATTACAATCATTACCTTTAATTTTTGTTTTATCCACGTGAACAATCTATGTTTTTTAAAGTAGCTGTAGGTAGAGAGGTAAATACCCTCTTTGTTGACCCTTTATCCTTGGTACATTTTTAAACATATTCAGATGCCATAAGGAATTTTTTTCCTCCTGGCCCAAACACCTCTATTGACCCTATATCAATGTGAAAGTCTGGTATTATTTTCTCCAAAAAAAAAAAAAAAAGAAAAGAAAAATTCTCGATTTCATCACACGTACAAGGTTAAGTCTTGACGGTCACCCTATTTTTACGCCGGTGAATGTCGCCAGTGCACCCTCTAGTCACCACTTCATTCATGACCCAAGGGCCCTGATTTTAATCATTTTTTATGACTGTTACTTGTTTTACGGAATCAAAAAAGAAGAGTAAAAGAGATTACAACTTTAGACAAGGGCTCAGCAAGCTGTGGCTCTGGTCCAAAACAAGCCCGCCATCTGGTTTTATACATAAAGTTTCATTGAACAGTCATGCTCATTCATTTACGTACTGTCCATGGCTGCCTTTGCACTACAGTGGCAGAGCTGAAGAGGTGAAACAGAGATCTCTAGGCCTGCAAAGCCTAACGTATTTATTATCTGGTCCTTTAAAGTTTGATGATCCTTGCTTTAGATTTCTTTATAATTAAAAAAATGTAAAGCCTATTCTTGAGGGCTGTAACAGCATTGTATTCATCTTTGCATCTCTGAGAGTCTATTCTGCAAAATGGAGGTATCCGATAAACATCAGGCAAATTGAAAAGTATAATTCAATTTCTAATCATGACTCCAAAGGTAGTGGCTTATGTACTATAGAGGGGTGGACATATGCTAGTTCCCCAGAGAGGGCACATTAGGAATAATTATACATTATGTGTCTCCTCAAAGGACTTCAGGTAACATGGGCCCAGTGAGAGAGGATACAGAACCAAAGGGCTTGGTTTGGGGTGGGGATGGCATATCTAGGGGGGCCTCCATTGGGTCTAGGGCAGACTTGGGGCAATGGGTGACTCACACATGGGACTGGAGTACACTTGAGCTGAAAGGTGAGGGGAGGCAGGAGTAGAGCACAACAGGGGAAACCAGAGCAATGGAAAGAGAGATAATAGCAAACCAGAGGCAAATGGTGCTTATTACTATTACTTGACTACGACTTGGCCAGGGTGAGATCTTCCGGCAAAATGCTTCAGAAAATACAGTGTTGGTAGTTCATGTTCCTTACTATCATTCAAATGCTTAATAGGATTTTGCAGTAGACCCGAGGGACACAGCCCCCATCCTGATTCCCATCTTGGAGGACCACACTTATTCTAGTGCAGCCATTGCTAGCAATTCTCAAACACAAATGTGAATTTTCCGATGTTACGATTTCCACAAATGTTAGTTCTAAAAATGCCTTTTCCATGTAACAGCTTGACAGGAATATGTATATATATAAAAAAATAACCGTGGAACTGTGGGTGGTATGTACTATTATTGCAAAAATAGATGGAACACACATATCAACATTGGATTTTTAAATATACAAAGGAAAGGAAAAAGGGAAGAAAAAAGTTAATGTTTTGGCTGTAACAGTTCCTTTCCTCACTAGACATTACACTTTGTCAACTCAATCTTGTTTTTCTAAAGCGGCTCCTTAAAACACTTGGTAGGGTTGAGTCAACATTCACTCAGGTTTCATGAGCCTTCGTGGCCTACTGCTACTTCACATGCATCTGAAATTCAGAAACTCTCGATGGTTCCCAAAATTTTAATTTTTTTCATATTACAAAGAGATGATGATTATGATATTATTCTATAGCATCATGTTTATAAATTCTAATATATCGATATATCTATATATAGATATATAGATATAATTGATATATATATCAATAGGCTTATATATGTATAGATATATAGATATAGGCTTATATAATATCTATATAGATATAATTGATATATATATGTGTGTATATATATATATATACACACATATATATATCAGTAGGCTTACATAAAAGAGAATTTCATCTACTGGCCTCTTACAACTAAAATGTAATGAGTCAATGCCTTGATTGGCCTAATTCTTTAACTGAGTATTGTATAACAGATCCACACAGAAATAACAATAGGCTTTTGCTGCTTTAAAAAATAATATTCGGGGCACTTGAGTGGCTCAGTTGGTTGGGAGTCCGACTTCAGCTCAGGTCATGATCTCACAGTCCGTGAGTTCAAGCCCCGCATCGGGCTCTGTGCTGAAAGCTCAGAGCCTGGAGCCTGTTTCAGATTCTGTGTCTCCCTCTCTCTCTTCCCCTCTCCCACTCACGCTCTGTCTCTGTCTCTGTCAAAAATAAACATTAAAAAAACTTTAAAAAAAAAAAATAAAAAAAAAATAAAAAATAATATTCATTGCAGTCACTTCTTGAAAGAACTGAATTTTTTTTTTTGTCACCTTGGAAAACTGACATGGGGGAAGGAAGTGGAGTAGGAACCTTGTAGATAGTTGACCTGTGTGGTTATTCACTGGTGTAATAAGGTGTTCCACCTGGAAGCATGTCTCAAAAGGAAGAGAACAGGGACTCCCAGTAATTGTCTATGGCTATGTGTACCCAAAGGACTCTGATGGTTCAGTGGAAATACAAACTCAAAACATTCTATTGAAGTTTCAAAGTATTATGCCATTTTATTGTTAGCAAGTTCTTTGATTAGACTTTATTACTGAAATTTTTTTTTATTTTTTCTGGGAGCGCCTGGGTGGCTCAGTCGGTTAAGCATCCAACTTTGGCTCAGGTCATGATCTCACGGTCTGTGAGTTTGAGCCCCGCGTCGGGCTCTGTGCTGACAACTCAGAGCCTGGAGCCTGCTTCGGATTCTGTGTCCCTTCTCTCTCTGCTCCTCCCCTGCTCACGCTCTGTCTCTGTCTCTCTCTTTCAAAAATAAACAAACACTAAAAATTTTTTCTTAAATCAATAAATATATATTTTTTCTGGGTGTATACTTACACTTAACTAGTTCTATAGTTTCATTATTTTGGCCTTTGCTACCCTTTCTGGAGGTACTATCCGATTTCCCTGGGTATCTTGATGTCCTCTAAAAATACTCTGCATAATTATCACTTCAGCATCAATATTTTATAGCTATTAAAAATGAGGGGCGCCTGGCTGGCTCAGCTGGTGGAGCATGAGACTCTTGTTCTTCAGGTTGTGGGTTCAAGCCCTGCGCTGGGTGTACAGATTACTTATAATAAAATCTTGAAAAAAATGAAACACGATGGGAGCTAATGTGCCAATATTCCTTTGGATGTCAGTGGTATAATTAGGAATAAAACTCTGAACTTGGATTATCACTTATCACATGTTGCTTGAGAATTAAATGCCAATCAAATTATGTAAAGGCTAGATATTTTAATACAGATGGTAATGTTCTTGATCATTATATGGGCATGATAGAGAGAAAGCTGTGCTAGTCTGTGTAAAACTTGTTGTTCCTTCCCCAGATTCTCCTGCTACTGTGATTTAAGGTCTCAGGAAGAGATCTCGCTTTGTCAAAACAAATTTTAATTTCTTAAAGAAGATGAGAAAAGACATACTGAGTATTTCTTTATCTGATACAAAGTCAAGTGAGCTTTTAATGGACATTCTTGGTATCAGGTGAAAGGACTTCAACAATTTCAAGAGACCAATGTAAGACAGGGTCCATGCCGGGGTTTAGGGAATGAGCTTGAATCAGAGAGATAAGGGATGAATCCAGGATCTACATGGATCAAGTATGTAGTCTTGGGTAAACTGTTCACTCTCGATTTCTTCATCTGTAAAGTGAGTGTAATTATAATAACAGTATTACCCACTTCTAGTGGGTATGTAAATTGCTTAACACAGAATCTAACAGACAGTAAACACTTAATAAATGGTCACAGCTGTAGCTGCTACTCTCACTAAAACAGAGGGAATCAGAGGAAAAACCAACGTCCTATTCTGATGAAAAAATTCTAGAGGAATCTGACATGTACAAGCCTGTCCTGATGGAGTTCTCAGAGTTTAGATATTCTTCTCATGTAGTTAAATTTGGATGACATCTTAGATGTAAATAAGGGATCGATTACACAAACAATACCTCCATTCGATAGATTACTATGCAACCACTGAATGTGATGCTGTAAAATATTCAACGACAGAGCAAGATGATCATAATGTGTTATTAATCAAAAGAGCAATTCCCTAAACATTATATATAGTATATATCATTTTCATCTTATTTTATATATGCATATTTGCATGAAGAATTGAAATATAGATGCAAAAATGTTATCGATTAGTATCTCTGATAGTTAGAAGTATGAGTAATATTAAATTTTCTTTTTACTGCTTTCCCCTAAATTTTCTGTAATGAATATGTATTGCCTTTGCAATACAAAAACTTAATGTTATTAGAAAGAAAGGAGATGCAGGGAAATTAAAAAAATTTCATTTTCTTGATGACCTAAAGTACGATTTTTTAAAAACAAAGTCCAGGGACGCCTAGGTGGCTCAGCAGGTGGAGTCTGACTCTTGATTTTGGCTCAAGTCATGATCTCACTGTTGTGAGATCAAGCCCCAAGACCGGGCTCTGCGTGGGGTGTGAAGCCTACTTAAGATTCTCTCTTGCTCTTGTCTCTCTCTGCACCTCCCCCACTCACATGCGCACGCACACTCACACTCTCTCTCTCTCCTTCTCGCCCTCAAACCAAAAAAACAAAGTCCAAATGTTTTATATCTAGAGGTCTACTAGTACAGCATAATAAGGGAAAGACAACATAGGGAGGGAATAATAAGAACATTCTAACTGTTAACAAAAAGATCTCAGTTATGGTATTTACCACACTCTTCTAGAGTCAAGCATAAATCTGTGAATCATGATATGACCATTTTATGGTTTAATACTTGTCCATACATTTTTTTTTAAGTTTAATAGTTATCTACATTAGGTAACTTCTTATATTACAAGATTGTTGAAAAAAAAATAACACTTTGCCATTTCTTTTTCTCCAGGCATGGTTTGTTTTATACAGAATCCTCCATGTTTGGGGCAGCAAGCACAGAAACTGTCATTTAGACTGGAGGCAATGCCAGGAATCTGCTTCACAACTTCTGAGTCAGCTTTCCCACCCATCACCTCTCAGTGCTCATGACTCAGGGTAACAAAGTCTGCACTTAGTCTAATTAACTCCCCTTTGTCCTTTTTTTTCCTTTTAATAAAAAAGATAGTCTTGTATTTTCTCACACTGTTTGTAGTAGGCGGAAATGGACAGACTCTTACCTTTCTGTTTGTCTTGTGAACTGTAAGTGCCAAATGGATGCAATGAACTATTATCGTTTCTCCTGGAGGCGTTTATAGTGTTTGGACAATTCTCAAAGCATGGCTTAGAAAATGCCCCACATTCTGTAGGCTCCTAAGGGACGAAAATAAAAATTATATTTGCTTTTGAAATACGTTCTAACTTGGTCAATGAAAGCGAGGTAGAATGATCAGTTTATGAACCATCCTCCAAAAGTCTACCGCACAGAAATTCTCGACTGAAAATTCAAAATGGCCCTATCGGTTAATAAAACATCTTTGAATATGAAATAAAAAAGATACTGACAATGTGGTGCTAAGGATTAGGAGTACTCATAGCCAACACAAAAGAGGATTAACTTGATTATTCTTTCCCCCCACTTACAACTGGCTTCTTTCAAATTTTCCTCCATCTGGGACCACAGCTCGTGGCAACAATACAGCTCATGCCAAGGGTGTTTTTCTGCCAACCAGCTGGTTCCTCGCTCTCTCCCTCAGTGACTAAGTGCATATGCTCTAGGACAAGTCAGAACCTAAGCAGGTTTGTCACTGAAATGCCATGAGTGTGTCCCACTGCGATCCTAGGTCTTTAGGCCAGGAGCTAAAACAAACCCTGTGACAATGCCAGACAGTGGTTCTCCTGAGCTTCCCCCCCCCCCCCCCCGCTTTTTGATATTTTCCCCTCCAATTTTGATTTTGATGGCCTGCAAACAAATTCACAGTGTCTTCAAAATGGCCAGAGTAACACCCCCACAAGCCATGTTACACAGGTGTGAAGAGGCAGTAGAAAGGGGCCAGGTGTAGAGAGCCCCAGCTGTTTGTTCAAAAGGACTGAGGCACAGAGAACTGGGTTCTGCTGTGGCTCATATTATGTGCCTTCCTAACACAAGGAAGTCATGCGGAAGCCATGTCATGGTTGTGCCTTTGACCGTTTGTGAGAGGATCTCACCCAAACAGAAACACGGATCTGATGCCGCTCCGGGGGCCGGCCCCCCCAGCTCTTTCCTTCTGAGCAAAGCATCTGGTCCAAGCAATTTGATTATACTTTCCTCTTAGTTACAAACATTCGGTATCCTAAACAAAATATTTAAAACATTCGATTTATGCATTCTTAATAATTAAAATGTTTTCAGCTGCTGAAGAAGCCCTGTTAGCTCTTTGTCAAGGCTCAGAACGTTTTTCCCACAGCCAGGGTTACCCTCTGCCTCTGTACTGCTAGTCAAACCAAACTCCTCCTAAATTAAAGCTGGAGCCCAGGCAGGCAGGAGGGCCAGGGCTCACTTTGCACAGCCTTGTGCTTTAACAACAACAACAAAAATTCTGCTTTCCCAGCTCTTTGATAAATGACACAATCGATATCCCAACAACTGATCAGTAACCAGCCTAATTAAAATATTCAGTCTGTAAAATAGCGCTGTCGTGGAGCCCTCCATTAGTGTCCCAGCCAATAAAAAATATAATGGATTTTTAAACATATTCTCCTTCTACCAAGATGAGCTTGGAGCGGGGAGGGAAATGTTTTGGGGAAGAGGAAAAAAAAAACAGGTCATAACCCATTTTTTAATACCAAGTCTCTAGGCTCAAATAGAATTACAATTGAACCTCAAGCTCATCCTTTGAAAAACATGTTTCTGTTTCAAATGATTTTGATCCAATCAAGGACTCATTATGTATTCTTCACGAGGCCCTCATCAAAACTGTTTACGTATCTTGTACATCTGGGTAATGTGGGAAAATACTCCAACAACTATATATTTTGACTTTTCTTAAGTAGCTTCTTCATTTTTTTTTATATCAATATAATGTTCAAGTAACCATTTTGGTAATCTTGCCAAATCTAACTAATTGATTTGCCTGCACGTATGAGCGGGGCTGAGACCTTTTTCTAGGTTGTGGTGCTTTTATTGTACCTGAGGGTGACTGCTGGTCCACAGGAGAAGACACCAAAAACACGAGTGCACAACATACGCTGTGACACAGTAAAACACAGAGCTGGGAGGTCAAATAGCTGCAGACTTTTTTTTTTTTCCAATTTAATAAAGATTAGTTGTACATTAGAGGCTGCTGTCTTTATAAGAAAAAATGCTCTTTAATCTTCATGGGTACCACAGAGATTCTCGGTAGCTGAGAGAATCAAGTGCCTGTCTGTTCCCCATGGAAAGCATGTAAATACTAGGGAAACTGAAAAGGGATCTTGTTTAAATGTCCTCGTAAAAATTGCTTTTTGTCCCATTTCTTAATTCCCAATTAATTTCCTAGTGAACTTATTAATAAGACACTTCTGAGGATGGGCAACAAACTAAAAGTTTAGTTCTTTCTTCCGATGGAATAATTGTCAACCCACCCCAGAGCTCGAGAATCAACATGGAAATACTTGCCGTAAAGGAGAATGCAAATGCAAAATGACTCAACTAGATGAGCCAAACTACAGAATGCTCACCCACTAGGCAAACACCTGTTTTAGAGAAACACATGGAATAAGGGGAGGTGAGAGGTGGGGGACACAACTTGTAACAACTGTATTCATTTTTTCTTTTCTTTTTTCCTTAACTTTTGGTTATTTGTACAGGTATGGTACTCTACAGCAGCACCTTCCGGACTTTTCTCTTCCTTGAAATATCTTTGTTCCAAGAAATCTTAAGGAAGACGTAATACACAGATACACAGAAGGGGTGGCTTAGGGGCCCACAGACCATCCTTCAGACCCATCCCCGACAACTGGTACCATGAATCCCAGGGCTCCAGAGTAAGAATCACATTAAACCAGAAAGGAGCCAATTCCATCATGGATGGAAGCAAAAGATAAGGGTTTTATAACTATGTACATAAGTAAAATCCATTAAATATTCATGGAAGCCTCTCTGTCACTTAGGCAGACACAAATGTTGAAAACGAGTTGGCTCATTATATATAGTCTCCAGTAATTGGCCAATTTACATTTATTTAACATTTACAAGGTTATGTACAGAAGAGTAAAAAGGTACAGTTACTCTCTTCCGATAGCTGATAATATAACAAAGTGAGATATAGTTTACAAGTTTACTACTTCAGCTGACCCCCTCAGATACAGTAGGTCTCAGATGCATCTTTTATTCATTCATTAAACGATATTTATTAAGTGTCTACTGTGTGCTGGGAAATGAGGATACATTAAGGGACAAAATAGACAACAGTATCTGTCATCTGTAAGCACTCAGCACTCAACTATGTATGTCTTCACATCGCCAGAAAATGGACAACCTGGGATTTTTACTCAAGTGATCCATAACTTTAGAGCCTAAGCTTTTAACTGCTATGAGCTTCAACTACCTTCCGCTATGCCTTAATTTGAAAAATCCTTTTTTTAAAATTTTTAAGTTTAACTTATTAAAACTAATATTTTAAATGAGTGTGTTGTTCACAGCATCCTATGTTAACTTTTGCATATTACCAGATTACACAAATATTACTTGTCCTCAGAGAATATTTGTGTGATATGCTTATGTTTTTCTTAACTCAACTATGATCAACTGTTTTCTCCTTATCTTTTCTTAAAATATATTTCAGGAGTATTTAATAATTATTTTTATATATTAGAGAAAATAATGTTTTAGGAATATTTTATATTTATTATAAATATACTAACATAATTGTATAATTTAATAATTGTATAATACATAGATATTATAATTGTATGTAAGTGAAATGTTTAGGGGTACTGGCATTCGAGAATATTTTATGGTTACGCTTCACGTCTAGGTAAAAATATTTTTATATTAAAAAATCCATAGAAAAATCAGATAAAATATTGCAAAAATGCTTATTAAATTAAAAACATTTATTTAATACCACGAAGCAAGCAGCTTGCTTAACAGCTTAAGTTTTAAATTAGTTAAGTCCCAGGTCTATATTATCCATGTGCACGTTATGGGGGAAAATATACAGAGCTGAGCGCATTACAACAATCTTCATATTAAGCACTATATATATCTGATCAAGAACTTTCTAAAGTATAGACACTATCAGCCCATCAATCAAAAAGTATATAAAGATGTTATATAGTTTAACAGTTTATTATATGAATAAAGCTTTGTTCATAAAGTCCAAATCTCTAGAAATTTCTGGGGGAAAATCTAGAAAATATGGACCTGCTACATTTGATAAATTACTTACCTTGTATGAACATTTTTATACCTTCTAGTTATACCTGTAACATATAACCACACATAAATCCATCAGAGCCTTTCGGGGGCAGGTTTTTCCAATTTCAGAATCAGTATGATACTAGTGATGGAAGTTTGCATACCCTAGGGGGCCATTTGGGCAATCTGCAGAGGGAACCAAAGACATGCATCACCTCCATTGGTCTCTCTGGCCTCCGCAGAATCACCAATTGGATCATCCCTCGAATGTTTCCCTCCATGGACATTGATCGCCTCAGTGTCTCCATAGCTTCGTGGTTGGATTTTCCCAAAAGAGATTCCCCATTAACGGCAATCAGCTGGTCATTCATCCGCAGACGACCATCCTAGGACAGAGGAAAGAAAAACAGTGTTAAACAGAGAAAGGTATGGTGATGATGTATGGCTATTTCAGGAAAAGTTCACATTTTAAAAGAAAAAAAAGAAAAAAGAAAAAAAAAACCCAGCCATTAGGAATGATTTATTTTCTATGGCAGAAAAAGGTTCTGGAGCTTATCAAATAGTCACGAATACTAACAATAATGAACTGTGTGAAAGTGTTTTTTAGAAATCTCAGAGTCCCAAGCTGCAATAATTTAGACATTTGTATAATGTCTCTTACCTAAATCTTTGGCAAGCATGCTAACCTAGCCCAATTCTGCCATTTTCTCTGGCAGGGACCATATTGGCTCAAAGAAAGGGGATTTGGAAGCAGAAGGAAGTGGTCACATCACTAGAAACAAGGGTTTGCATTTTCAGGCACAGAGAGACATCATGCTTAAATGTTGTGTGTTTGACAGCCGTAATGCGTCTCCTAGATATTACTGCTAACTCTGTTGAATGTGCTGGAAACAAAACAAAACAAAACAAAAAACTCATGTTATTTTCTCTAATGCAAACAAAAAGTTGCTAGTCTGCTAGTCTGCAGAAGAACACAGAGGTGTGCAGAGAAGGGCCAATTTGCACTGATGTCTTCTGGCAAAAAAGCATGACAAAGGAGACTGTCAAGCTTTCTGCACACAGGCTCTGACTGATTACTACTTTTACCCAGAATCTTCAGGAAACCACATTCTGCAAAGTGCACAGAACCTCAACATGTGGACAGGCAGCCCAGACTCTAGTTTACATCACGTCTAGGTACTAGTCATCTGCAACCAGAAGCATCTCACAAGCTAGGGATGCCAATGGTAGCTAGCAAACTGGGATGGCACTGTGTGCTTTCTCTATCTAAGATAAATGATTGGTAATTTCATTAATGGTGGCAGGTCTGCGGCCAAAAGAACTTAAGGGGACCACAGTGCATCTCCCCAACAGGCAGCTTCAAGGGAAAAACACTCAAAATACAGAGAGTCTGTATAGGGACATGCCTTATACCTGTTTCACACTAGGGAAGAAAGTTCGAGGCACAGGTGCAATTTTAGTAATTTTATGATGTTGTGGTTGCTAATAAACATAATAGAAGTACCAGTAGCTACAGTTGCCCTTCCTGGAGAATTTTTCCATAAATTATCTCTAGAAGTCAAAGAACTCAAGAAGTAGATCAACATTTTACTTTGCATTTTTCAGATAAGGAAACTGAAACAGGGAAGGGCTGCAACTCGCCCAAGTCACAAAAGCAAGTCAGAGACAAAGTGACCCAAATTCTGGTTTTATGCACCTTGGCTCTTGGGTCTCTCTACCAGGCTCCTCTTTGTTATTTGATCTCTAGACTACAGTTGTAGGACACGAAAATAGGAAAGGAAAATACTAAAGAGTTTTGTTGGTAGTAAGTATCTGAGATCCATGTTCAAATTTAACAGAATAAAATACAAAAAAGAAAACTTTCCTAAGAAATGAGAAAAGCAAGCATACAATGGACAATGGGACCAACTGTGCAGCTTTGGGAGAGAAATCGTGTGGACAAGTTGATAAACTTTGACTAACTCGGTAGCATATGGTCCGTGGAAGTTCTTCTGAAGACAGTGGGGGGAAAGGGTGAGCAGGGAAGGCTGCTCTGGAGAGCTAATGCCCTGGAGATGCCCTGTTGGTGCCGCCTGCTGGAGAGGGCGCTGACCATGCAGGATCATGGAGGCCACTCAAAGGAGCACATGCTCCTGAACGAAGAAACAGAGATGGCGGGGCAACAGGATTGATCGAGAAGGGCATACAATCAGAGCTGTACAATGTCTGAGTGGACTGCCTCAGCGTAACGGCCCCTGCCTTCCTCTTGTTTTCCCATTCCACTTAACCTTTACCCTAATTTGGAGCAAATCTGGAAATGAGATTTACAGGAAAGGCCAAACAAGAAAGAAATCTCTTCATTTCTGTTATCTAATTTTGAGGGAGGCACATAAAAAATGAGGTTAAGGTTACACGAAACAGGGTAAAACAAAAACAACCATAATGGAAGTGAGACATAACACGAGAAATCCTCTGGTCCTATTTTGGCATTTAGTGGAAGGAAGGCTATTGGGTTGAAGCTTGAGGAGGATGGGAGGGTCACTAAAAATTGGATGAATGATTTTTAAAGAGGAGGAGGAAATAGAGGAATTAGACCAAGATCCCAGCTCTGTCAACAGGAAATGAGGTCTACTAGGTGTTGGATTTGTAGAGGCTTAGTCTTGGCAGGACACCTCGTCCTCTACAACATGAAGAAAGATAAGGATTGAAACTTTATGGGTATCTCTAGAGTGGAGGAAATAAAATCTGAGTGAGACTCCACCTGGTAACTCCTATGAACCTTGTCTATGAAGTATGAGGCAAGGTCTGAGTGAAGGGGTAAACAGAGAGAAGGAGACGTAAAGCCTTTTTTTTTTTTTTTTCTTTGTAAAATAATCTCTCACCAACAGGTACTAAGCACAAACTTTCATTTTCAGCTACAATCCAAGTCTCAAGCATACAGAACTGCATTGAAGGAGAGCATGTTTGCTATATTCAATCCAAAACAAAAAGGCAGGTTAGGTCACCCCAGGGCAGCTGGGATTTTTTTTTTTTTTTTTTTTTTTAGAAGACATCCACATTTATCACAAGCATCACTGGAGAGCTATGGGCATGATAAAAATCCACACACTCTCATTTTCAGGCTTGGCTGGGTCTGTTGCTCTTGGTGTGTGCTTTCTCTATCTAAGATAAATGATGGGTAATTTCATTAGTGGTGATCCTAGTAAGTGCCATGTTGTCCTAACATTTAGAATATAATCACAGAATTTAGAGCTGGAAAGGTCCTTAGAGGTCATCTTGTCCAACCTCTTCTGTTTACAGATAAATAATGTGATGCCCAAAGATGACGAGAAACCATTTATTGAACTCCTCTTAAGAGAAGGACTTCCCCATGGGTTAGGACTTGCTTGGCTTAGTTTGGGTCAGAGCTAGAGCCGAAGAGCCCAAATCCTGGCTTCTCAGCATTCTCGGTTTCCTAAGCGTCCTCTCTGCTACATAGGTGACAATGACTAGTTCCAAAAGAAATAATGCTTCAAGAAAAAAACTCTCAAAACCAGAAAATACAATATGCCACCAGATGTCTTCCAGAGGAGAATCCTATACAAAATCCAGAGTCAGATGGCAGAAGATATGGGGACTGGTGAGTGTGTGCTGGGCAATGGCAGGACAAGGACACAAAGTAGAAGCAGGAGACAAAAATTTGCTCGTGTCTCTACCTCTATGAATATACATGCATCCCCAAGTGCGGTCTTGATCTAAAATGAAAGTGGTTCAATGGAAAACTCCTTAAATACCTCTAACTCAAACTCACTAAATATCCTTCACAATTGTGCATGCCCTTGGGATGCTTTGGAATAGTTTTGACCAAGAAAAGCACTTTTTTAGGTTTTATCTTTTTCTATTAATATTGTGTTTAAGTAAATACTTAGACATGAGAATGCTACCTCTCATCAAATGATTTTATATAAGTGAATTCAACTATCCAGGGATATGACTCAGTAATTTTAGAATATTTATTTCATTGTAATCTGGGTCATGCTTGCATTTATTAAAGAAAAAAAATCCTTTTCTGCTATAGACTAAATGTTTGTGTCCCTCGTCCCCCACCCCTCTTCCAAATATAACATGAGGTTATTAGGATGAAACCCTCCTGAATGGGGTTAGTGCCCATATGAAATAGCCTGAGAGAGAACTCTCACCCCCTCTGCTGTGTGAGGTACAGCAGGCAGACAGCCACCTATCAACCTAAAGTGGGTTCTCACCAGATACTGAATCTGGGGGCATCTTGATCTTAGACTTCAGTCTCCAGAACTGAGAGAAATAAATTCTGTTTTCAATAAGTCACTCAGGCTGTGATAGTCTGCTAAAGCAGCCCAAACAGACTAAGACACTTTCCTTCCTGTTTTACTGTCATCAGACACCTAACTAACAAGACTCTTCACCTCTGGCAACTATACTCTTTACCTCTTCCCACCCCCCCATAACCAACTCTATCTATCCTCAAGCCAGGAGGGAGTAAAGGAAATTCCCAAAAGAGGAAGAAAAAAAAAAGGAAGGAGAGCAGTGTAAAGATAAAACGTAACTTCCTTACGATACTTTAGGACAAATAAAAATTGGTGCAAGACTAGGTTTTGTCCATGTCCTGGGATTGCTTCAGATCTCATCGGCAGTAACTTGGTTCTAACACAACAGGATGAGTGAACCAGGAGACAGGATGTTTGAGTACGACATCCCCCTTTTAGTGAGCACCTAATATAGGCCAGTTCTTGTGCAAATATTTTGTATATGCTCTCTCATTTTTTTCTCACAACAACTTCATGGTAGAAATACTACTTTCTACTATTTAAGAGATATAGAAATGGAGGCTCAAATATAATAAGTGATTTGTCAAAGGTTACTGGCATGGCTAAGTCTCCTCAGGCATGTACCTGTTATATTGCTTCTGATATCAAAGTTCTAGAGATGATTAAAGATACTACAGTTATTGATGACAATAATTATTTAATGAGTTTTTTTGTACAGTCATTGTGCTAAACCCATCATGTACAGTAGACAATTTAAGGCTTACAACAATCCTATACATTGGGGACTGTTGCCGTCATTTTATAAAAAAGAAACCAAGAATTAGGTCAGTTAAATGCATTGTTGCAAGTCACATTTCTAAAGCAGATCTGAACCAGGACTGGGTCACTCTGAAGGCCACATTTCCAACTATTTTGCTCCACAGCTACATATTTAGACCAGATAATTCTTTGTAATGTGGGCCGTCAGGTACTTTGTAGTATGTTTCATGTGTCCACTGAAGTACATCTAAGATTTCCAGGGGGTCTAGTGACCTCGTATTTCAGCATCTGTCGTACTGTGGTGCCTGGGTACTATCTCTACCATGATTACTGGTGACATGGTATGGCTTAATCCACCTCTTTGG